TCAGGGATCTGTTGTCCCCCAAAACTGCAGTGCAACTGCAGAGCAGTTTGGGGAAGCTCCATACCCCCACATCTCCTTCTCTCCATGCGCATTTGCCATTTTGGGGGCTGGGAGCCAGAGCCAGGCAATGCAGGGCAGATAGCCAAGGCACCAGCCAGAGGAGTAAGAAAGCAGCGGTGTTCTCTCTTATCCAACCTGCTGCTGCTGGTTCAGAGGGTTGAAACTGCCTTGCAGCTCACAGTTCATTTTTCTCACATAGCTGGTAAGAGCTGCAGAGGTGGCGGACCCACTCCATGGCTGGCAGAGCCTTTAGTAAACAAGGATTACAGGAATCCCTGCTGGCACACAGCCTCTGGTTACCCCCTTCCTGCACCCTGAGCTACCTCTCTGCCCGCACACAGTCCTTCGCTAGCACTCTTTCTACACCTTGAGATAAGCTTAGGATGTAGGGAGAAGGTATTTCAAACTTTTTGAGCTAAGCCCCCAACCTCTGAGTTATAATTTTTGACTGATTCTTCCCCTTGCCACAACCTACACCAGTGGGGTGGCCTGCTGAGGTGAATTACGCCACCATGCCTCCCTGTACTCACCATATGGAGCTATCTTGAGCCCTGCTGGCTCCTGTTCCCAAAATATAAATTATACTATGCCTATGCCCAGACCCCCAGTCTCCTGGCTTGGACCTCCAATGCCTTCCTTCCCCCACTGGGCCCACTGCATGTTGAGATGCTAGAAGGGGAACTACTGCATAGTTCCTATTGATTATCATTGAACTCACTTGTTCCTTATTCAGCATATGGAAATATGGTCACCCTAATGAACAAGGACTTTCACCAGTGAATTAAACTGTGGTTTAATACAAAGACCAACCTTGACAAATCTTAACATGGAAGGTCAAATACTTCATTCATACTTCTAAATCCTGCTATGCAGAAAGGAAAGTGGTTGAGAAGAGCAAAACAAGCTGAATGATGCTACTACCTGGGGAGCTGGGTCTGACTAGACCCAGCTTCAGAGATACCAGAAAGAAAGCCTTGTAAGATGAACTAAGAATCTCAAGCATACTTCATGCTTGTTTATATTTTTGCTTGTTTTTAAGTTGAAGGAAATGAAACATGGTGTACTGGTGAGAGAGCACTTGCATTAACAAAAAAATATATAGCATCTGGAGCATTTTAAATTGAGCTAATTTCTTTGAATGACCTTCGGCTAACTCTACTCTGATACTGTTCTTGTTTTGCTAATTTTTTCCTCAAAATATTTCATTGCACAGTTATGATCTTCTTAGTTCAGCCAATGCATCAAACATATCCAACACAGTTACTCTGCAAATATCGCTGAGTGTAGCTTTATTAAACTTGTGTAGCATATGCTATTGCCAGAATTTAGAAATTTTTATAGTATGCTATTTTCAGATACTTGTATGTCATGTTTTTCATCAGATTTATCTACCCAAGAAGATAGGAATTTTTGCAAAAGAAATCTGAGTCAAGACAGCACCATGATGAATGCTGATTAACATTTATGAAGTCTTTGAACATGAACAAAAGTGGATCATGCAGCTTATTTTGAGAAGTTGGCAAAGGAGGCAGAAAAGGGAACAAGATGTAGTAAGTTACAGCCGACATTCAAAGCTATTTAATAACTTTGACCCAAAATTGAAGCTTGTGAGGGGTCTAAGCTAATAAACAATGCTGATAGTAAAGCATGCTTAAATTTAAGAAGTCCTGGTCAGATGGAAAGAATATTATGATACCATACTTAACTATCTGTATTCTTATCTGGACAGTAGATGCAATCTCTGGCCCTGAAACGTGTGAATGCATCTATGTTGGAAATAGGGATGTAAGAGTTTAGCTGGTTGACCAGTTAACCAATAAGCTGATGCTTATCAGTTCTTTGTTAATGGTTAAATTCTGCTAGGGAGTGGGAGCCCGTGGAGCTGGGAGGCCACAGGGCCAGCAACCAGAAGCCTGCTGGAATTTTAATTGGTTACATGGCTACTATTTACACTTTTTACATCCCTAGTTAGAAGAGGTTTGCTGTGCCATAAAGAAACTGCAAAGCAGACATGCTGCTGGATCTGACCGCATACATCCAAACTTCTCAGTGATGCCACAAATGTAGCATTGCATCAACTCTTTGTCCAAGCCTGGACTATTGGGAAGGTACCAGTGGAGTGGAAGGGAGAGACCTTTATCTCACTCATGTAACCCCCTTTTTTCCTCCCCGGGTTACTCGGGAGCAGGTCACACTCACAGGTGTGCCGGCGCACCTGATGGTCTTGACTTAAAAAGGAGATCCTGAGTACCCCCGTGGTGATGATGTTTGGTTGGGGAAAACCTGTCCACCTCCTTGCTGCAGTCCCTTGCTCATAAAGAAACATACAGTGGTGGTGCCGCCACATGGCTGGCCCTGTACGCACTAGTGTGCCTTGGAAGCCTCCAGGAATAAATTTATTCCAGCAATAAACTGGATCTAACTCCAGAACAACAATTACAAATCATAAATAATATACATCTAATAGTACAACCTTTACTTAACTTGAAGAAACAGGATTTAACAAATTAACAGTGAATAACATCAATTAACAAAGTACACAGAAGTAAAAAGAACTTATTTAGCTGCCAATATTTATCCCACCCCAGTGTGCACACCCCTGGACTCAGAGTCCCAGACTCGTCCTTGTGTGGGTGCACTTGAAGAACTGCAGCTGTAATGGAGGTTCTCTGTAGGCAGTATGTATGTGGGTCCAAGCTAGGCAGCAGCTCTGTCCCAGGCAGCACTTTCCCAACTAGGCCCAATTACTTACAGTCTCATGCTGTGCCTATCAGAAGCAGCCTGCTAGATCCCAGTTCCAAAGGCATCTAGTCCCAGTCTGTAGCTGCACTCTGGACTGGATCAAACTCCTTCACAGCAGCCTGGCTCCCCTTCTGTTCCAAAATCCAAGGGCAGAGTCCCAGACTGGGAGGCCTCTCTTCTCATGCACATGGAGAGAGCCTTATCTCCCACACAAAAGTAACTTCCTGTTTTTCCCAAGGGTTCATGGGAATTGTAGTCTGTGAAGCTGGATTGCAGCACACAGAGACTTTCCAGAAAATAAGCAGAGACACCTTTAGTAAGGGGACTACACTCAATCAGGGGAATGCAGGAGCTACAGGCCAATATTATTCTCTCTGCTCCTGAAAAAGTCCTCACACACGTCCTACTCTCAACCTCTACCTTGCCTTCTGAAATGTCATTGACCAGAGCAACAGAGTTTCATTATCAGGTGATCTACAATGGACACTATACTTGCTTTCCATCTTTTAGCTGAAAACCATTGTGAATTCAACTGGCCTTTCACAGCCATATGCATAGACCTAGACGCAGCCTTTGATTCTCTCCTTACAACAATGACTTCCTTTACCTAGGCAGAAAATTGTCATCAAATGGGCACAGGCATATGGACATCATAAGGAGACTTGGTTTAGCAGCATCAGCCATATACAGTAAACTTCTGATAATCCGATATGAATAGACTTAAAAGTTTTTGTCAGTAATATGACATTCCTCAAGCCTTGACAGTACAGTAAACTTCCAATAATCTGGCACCTTTAGGACCCAGGGGGTGCTGGATTATCAGATATGCCGGACTATCAGAAGGGGGGGCTATGAAGGGTCTGGGGTGGAGTGGAGAGATGCTACCCCAGACCCCCTCATAGCCCTTCCTTCTGATAGTCCGGCTCTGCCCCAGGAGTCCCTGATTCAGCTGCTGCTGGTCAGTTCACCCTTGGCGCCACGAGACCAACCCGTCAGCACCCCAGCTACTCTTGGGGACGCCTGGGGCAGAGCAGCTGGAAGGCTGCTGGGTTGGTCCGGTAGCGCTCACCCTTGGCGCCACGAGACCAACCCGTCAGCACCCCAGCTACTCTTGGGGACGCCTGGGGCAGAGCAGCTGGAAGGCTGCTGGGTTGGTCCGGTAGCGCTCACCCTTGGCGCCACGAGACCAACCCGTCAGCACCCCAGCTACTCTTGGGGACGCCTGGGGCAGAGCAGCTGGAAGGCTGCTGGGTTGGTCCGGTAGCGCTCACCCTTGGCGCCACGAGACCAACCCGTCAGCACCCCAGCTACTCTTGGGGACGCCTGGGGCAGAGCAGCTGGAAGGCTGCTGGGTTGGTCCGGTAGCGCTCACCCTTGGCGCCACGAGACCAACCCGTCAGCACCCCAGCTACTCTTGGGGACGCCTGGGGCAGAGCAGCTGGAAGGCTGCTGGGTTGGTCCCACAGCCCCAAGGGGCAGCGCTAATTGACCTACTTGGCAGCACTCCAGCTGTTCTGCCCCCTGCTTCCCGGATTCAGTGCTGGTCAGTTTTAGCAGCGGCTGAATCGGGGAGGCTGGGGGCAGATCAGCTCCAATGGTCCGGCTGCCCGGAGCACTTCCGGGTTCCTGATGGTGCCGGACCATCAGGAGTGCCGGACCGTCAGATGCCGGACCATCAGAGTTTTACTGTATTTGGTTTGGATATGTTTTATTTAAAATTATGTTGTATCTATCCCGTCAAAAAAGATATTGCACTTGAGTTCAGAGGTTTTTAAAATTTGGCATTCATTAGTTGATCTTGCACAGTATATTTCAAGTAGTAAAAATAACATAATCTAACATTTTTCCCTTTTAAAATTATATATGTATATATTTATTCTATACAAAATGTAAGTTGTGGACAAACATGAATGTGAGAAAAATGATATATTGGAAAATCCTCAGCAGCTAGGAAAAATTATATTTTGGGTTCTTACAACATATAATCTATATAGAAGATTAACTCTCCCATATGCCTAGAATCAACAAACCATTACCCTTTATGATAGCATTTAAACACATCCCTAACTTTAAGAAGTTTAAGTTCCATTGAATGTAAGGGAATTTAAGCACAGGAGTACCTTTGAACACCTGGCATGTGGATGAATTTAAACATACTTATTTAAATGCCCTGCTGAATTGGGTCTGTAGAACTTAATTCCTTCCCTGATTTCTGATTCTTTCTGCTGTTGTTGTTCACCTTTTTCCAAAAAATAGGATATTTTGTCCCAGCCTTACTTGTCCTGGGTGATGTAATCACTTTCTACACTTATAATGTGTGTGTATAGTTACTGTATTGCACATATTGTGAGGTCCATTCTGCAGTTGATTATTCCAACTGGCTTGTTCCATAAAGAATCAGCTACATAGTTAATTCTTATCTGCTCATGAAACATTTTAGTAAGTGTGTGTTTATTAATATGTTAGGGTATGTCTACACTACTACCCTAGTTCAAACTAGGGTGGTTAATGTAGGCAACCGAAGTTGCAAATGAAGCCCTGGATTTAAATATCCCGGGCTTCATTTGCATCTTGCCGGGCGCCACCATTTTTAAAGCCCCTTTAGTTCGGACTCTGTGCCCGTGGCTACACGCGGCACGGAGTAGGTAGTTTGGATTAGGCTGTCTAATCCAAACTACCGGTACACCTCGTTCCACGAGGAGTAACGGTAGTTCGGATTAGAGAGCCTAATCCGAACTACCTACTCCGTGCCGCGTGTAGCCGTGGGCACGGAGTCCGAACTACCAGGGCTTTAAAAATGGCGGCGCCTGGCAAGATGCAAATGAAGCCTGGGATATTTAAATCCCGGGCTTCATTTGCAACTTCGGTTGCCTACATTAACCACCCTAGTTTGAACTAGAGTGGTAGTGTAGACATACCCTTATATATTCTCTTATCGTCTAGCACATCTTGCACATCTAGCTGATAATGAAATCTTTCAGATACACAGATATAAGTAAAACCCAAGCACAGCACAGCCAGCATATTCACTTTCAAGCCTCATGCAAGCAAATGCATTTGCTTCCCTAAAAAAGCTGTGTCCTTCAGTAGAACTGTATATTAGTAATGTGAAATATGAATTCCCCAGGATATACTCTATCAGCATTTATATGTTCTAAGAGAAAAAAAAAAAAACGTTTAGTGAAAATGTATTTTCAGAGTTCCCACAAGTTCTTGGAAAATAACTGTGAGAAATGAAAACCCCGAGACTTTAAGTATTTCTAAATAATTGAATATGTTCTGCAGAAAAAAAAAGAAATATATTCTAGACTCTGATATCTGCAAGCAAATCTTCATGCTGATATGTGCATTTTATGTTTCTGTAATAAATTGCATATAAATTCTACTCACTGACTTAAATGTAAAATTTAATAGAAGCAAAGCACCTAACCTCCTAAATCTTTCTTTGTGAACTGGGGCCTAAAATATAGTATCCTAAATTCTGCAAGATGCTTAATGACCGTTGAATTATACTGTGATAATATATTAGGAATGTAAAAAAAAGATGTAGTGGAATAGCGAAAGTTTCCAGCTTTTAGATCAGATCATTGGTCCACTACAGAGGCCAAATAGCTGGGAAGATGAAAAGGAAGGGTTTTCCCCCCACAAACCTTCATCTCTGTGAAGCTGTGAAGATTCTATGTAAAGGTTATTGCAGCTCAAAGGCTGAAGAATCCTGCATATCTTGGTAGGTGTCCCTGAAAAGGGTTTGGAGAGACCAGTGGATCCATTTAGAATGGTTTCTCTTTCCTCAGCTGTTTCCTTCCTTGTTGTACCTGCCTCGCCCCACCACGTGAGGGTTCATACACAGGTTTTTGGAGAGCTGAGCTTTAT